GTAGAAGTAAGATAGAAATGGACGTTTAAAAAGAGTCTAAGAAGAAAAAGTAGATACAAATTCTAGTATAATAATGGAACTATAGACTAGTGAAGTGTTCAATTCTCACATCGCTCAACGGTTGTGGAGTTGGGATTGCCGAGCCTCCAACGTAATGAATCGAGCGCAATGTTGGCCGCGTTGACTCCGTGAACTCATTCGTGTTCATGAGAATATAATCCACCTTTTCCTGAATTTTATCATACGATTACAACAATGGGATCGTACTTTAGGATGAATGATCACATGAATCTTCTGCTGGAAGGAAAAGCTTGTCAATAATTTCTCGAGTATACAAGAGGACAGAGCTGAATAATATTTAGAGATCTGGGCGAAATCACCAAACGAAAACTGGAGGACTTAGTTTTCTATAGACAAAGATCTAATTATACATAGCACTCTACCTGAATGAGATTTTGCAAATTTGGAAAATCACCAAATCGACTCTCGAATAAAGTTTGTTCAAAGTATTCACAGATATTTGCAAATATCCAGCCTAAATTGAAGTGAAAAGAAAATCTGATCCTAATAGCAAAGGAGATAAGAGACGTACCTAACCCATTGATTAGCACATTAGAGAGCCGTCCAATAAAGTTCATACGACCTCCATAACTTGTGAGAGAAGCTAAGAGATTGAACATTTTACAGGATCTTTTTCCACAAAATATTGTTCTATCATTCATAAACAAGTTGGTATTGAAATATACCTGGAACAAAACTGGACTGCTTTTCCATACCAAGAATGCGATAATGATGATATCCAATGCCAATCGCTGACGCAAGCATCATTTTGGGCACGCCTTAGAGAAAATATCGTTCTCTATTTAGATAATCGGTGCTGAATTCTTTTGTTTTACCGCTTTTAGCAGTGACATAATATTGTAATAATCAAGTTGGCACCTGACAGTACTGAATGGTATGCATAACATTCATCATCAGGCAGGATTTGAACCATCGTTTCACACTTCCGGAGGCTCGTGTTATCACTACACCACCGACGCCACCTGATACCATATTCATAACACCAAACTCACTGCTAAAAATAGTAAAAGTACAGAATTCAGCCAGATTATACATCTCGGAGTAGCTGTCAGCATAATCGGGTTAGTTACCAATATGTGCCTACGACCACACCCGTTAAAGGCTGGTTGCTGACAGCTACGATAGGACATATCGAAAGAGCAGAGTGATAAGCAGAGCGGTGCGATCGGTGATGTAGTCGTAGCATGTCACACCGGAATGGGTGAAAGGCGGGTTTGATTCCCGCCTGATGTCGACTGTTTTGCATACCACTCAGTACTCTCAGATCTCTAACGTAGAGTTTCTAAGAGCCTCTAATGACTATGAGAAGACTGACTAATTAGTAACTCGGAAGAGAATCAATTGAAAGCTCCTTCTAAAAAGTTCTAGATCCATTGAATAATTGAATGCTAAGTCAAAAGCCAGTAATGTAGTAAGGAAGAAATCGTTGCTAGTTTAATGAAACACAGATGAAATATATCCAAGGCGTACTTGACTAATTTGCAAAGATTTCAACCCCGGTGGGAGATGAACCCGCGCATTCATGAAAGCCTCGATATAGGTGGAACGGGGTCCAACTCCCGCTTGGGTCCATTCTTTTGCATATCACTCAGCACCCGTGGATATGTTCTAACAGACCATGATAGTGATGTAAAAAGCGGTAGACTGGAAAAAAAGGTTTCGAAATGAGACAGTTCCTACCAGCCAACTCCATCACGCCTGCCGGACAGCTATGAAACATCTCATAGATTCCTAGATCAAATCTCGAATCACGCAACGTTCGTATTAGCGTCAGATCATCGATCATACCTGTAAACTCCGCATCTGCCGTATTAACCCATTATGAGAGAGATTGAAAGGATGAAACTCTCAGAGTTAATCGATCGTGAGAGATCGACCATGCATTAGATTCCATTCGTAGCGTCTCGGCGGTGAATGAATGCACATCTGGCCTTTACAATGACTCGCTGTGGCTTACCGTTGCATATATAATTAGTGTTGCTATCCTCCCAAACAAGTCTGATACCAATTCACCGTTCTCGGAGGGATGGAAGCCTGGTGAGATCTTGGGTGCGGGATCGAACCATCAAGCACGTGGGTGTCGTGCGGCACAACACCGCCACATCCGCCCGAATGAATTATACAAAGTGAGGATAATTCCAGAAAATGAAGGTAGATCGCGATGGAGAACAGCTCACCTTCACAAATCCTATAGGCGAAAATCTGCATTTTTATAAAATCAATGACGTTGAGACCAAACATGACGTTGAACACTTTATCTTGTTTGAACGTCAACGTTTGCCAATCAGCTGGATCATAATAGGGAGAATTATACCTGAATCAACAGCTTTTGTTTCGAGTGTTTTCTTAAGACCACAGCTCAAATTTCAATATGCCTTGCAATCAATTTTGAGCCACGCATGTCAGTGGTCTGTTAAATGGGCTGACTTATAGAGCCCGATACACGTGTTTCCGATTATCACAGAGATTAGCAAAAGACGAGAAAGGGTAAGTGCCCGACTGACGAGATCGCAAGATCGAACACGTGTATCGGGCTCTAAAAGTCAGCCCTCATTGACCGACCATTGACATGCGTGGCTCAAAATGATTGCAAGGCATATACCTGAATCATTTACACCTGATTTACATCACTTGAAGCTAAGAAAGAAAGCCAATAAATGATCTCGAATTCCTATCAAGACGTTTTATTTATCTATTGAATTACTTTATAACATGCTTCACAAGTTTCGTGCCTGTGGAAGTCGTGCAGTCGGAATCAAATTCGACCATTAACAAAGTCTAAATGCAAACTGATTTCATCGTGAAAGACATAATGCACTAAATGAACGAAAAACAATGAATAACAAAAGTAAACAACAAAAATCAATAAACGAGAGTAGAGAACTGAGAGGAAAAAACGCTGAACAATCAACGCACCACATTATGACCAGCCGCTTCCAATATGTCGGCAATGTTCCCAAGAAATTTGTTATGACTTTGGCCGACGGTTGACGTCCATACTGAGCAAGAATAAGAGAAATAAGCTAGAAGAAGAAAGATTAAAAAAAATGAAAGAAAAGAAAAAGAATAATAAAGAAAAAAAGAAATGAATAGTAAAAAGGTGAAGGCGTACAAATCTCTGATACCGTAAGGGTTCAAAAACAACCAGCGTTTTCCAACACGCCCTGTCCGATAATGGATGAGACGCGGGTTCGACTCCCGCCAAGGCTCAAAATTTGCATATCACTTAATATTTTTTGTCCAGTGATTTTTATGTTCTCAACTACCTTTTGCTGCTACCCATGTAAATCGTGATTGCTCAATACATGAACTACATGCATATAATCATATGTGTATATATATATATACACATATATATGTATATACATGCGTGCATATTCATGAATATATACACTACATACATTCATATATATATAGGTCAGATCTTTCGGCGTCAACCAATCCCTGAGACATGAGCCATGCATTGAATCCATTCGTAGCATCTTGGAGGTGACTGAATGCATATCTGGTCTTTACAATGACTCGCGGTGACTTGCAGATAGATGTATCAAGTCAGTCTTGCGGTCCTTCCAAACAAATCTGCGACCAGTCTAGTAATAATTTACCAGCCGCGGAGGGATGAGTGGCTTGGAGTGCTGTGAGAGCGAGATCAAACCATCGACCTTTTATGCGGTGCAGAGCACCTCTGATCACTGCGCAACATGCGCACACATATATATATATATATACATACAAGTATATATTACGAGTATATTACATTACGTATGTAGGCAGGCATAATCTGGATAGACAGCTCACCTAGAATATTCAGAGCGATTGATGAAGAGCACAGTAGTAGTAGGAAGAAGTTCTCAACAACAACGATTGGCATTTGATGCTAGCGTGATGGCTCTAAACGAGAAAGAAGAAGAAGAAGGCACTTTGTGTGTCACACCTAAATAATCTGAACTGAAACGATTAGGTCCGTCAGACACAATCCATGGACTGAACGTCGTCGCCTAAGGAACTTGTGGTCCTTGTGGAGAGTTTCGGTCCCATCAAATCGATAAGATTAAAAGCGCACTGCGCGTGGGAGGCATAATCTTATTGTGCGTGGCAATTAGTTTTTTGAGCCATGCATGTGGTGTAGTTATGGGCAACTTACACAGCCCAATACACGTGTTTCGGCCGTGACAGTCTCGTCAGTCGCACAGGGCCCTTCCTCTTTAGTCAATCCACTCGCGGAGAACCCAATACGCTACATTGAAAAGGCGCAGATGCACTATTTACACTTGCCATTGAGTGAAAATACCACTGAATGGACAGTGTTGCACACTCGATTGCTCCTGCTGGTATCATCAAACATATTGTACCATTCGCTTTGAGTGTTTTCCTAACCCCAGTACACGTGTAGCCCCCGAGAGGAGCCAAGAGGCTAAAGACGAAGGGCCTGCCCAACTGGCGGGGCTGCCAAGGCCGAAACACATGTATCGTGCTGTATAAGCGCCTATAACAGACTGCATGCATGGCTTAGAAAATATTTATCAGGCACATTGAAATTTGGGCGTGGTCTTGAGAAAACACTCAAAACCAAAGGTCATCTTATTAGAATACTATTGGGATGTAAAAGATTCGCTGAATAACTACATTTCTCAACTCGTCGAAATTTATGCTATTTAGAGGTTATTAATCATCAAGGGTTATTGGAAGGTTATTAGAAGCCTTGCCACTACTAGACGCAGCACACCGGGGGTTAGAGACGCGGAGGAGGTGGAGCAGACTTCTCAAAGTTGCCCAGTTAGAGATGCCTAAGCTGTCGGTACTCTCCACGGTCACGAGCGGGCTTAAAAGGCACCGAAATTCACGCTATTTAAAGGTCACTGAAAGCCCAGAAAATAGCTTTGTCCAGCGAGGTATAGGCGTGATCGGTCAGAATTGAGGCTGTCGGTGTTGCAACGGTTAGCATACGCTTCCGGTAAGAGTGAGGCCTGGGTTCGAATCCCGGCTGACGCAAACTGTTCTTGCACAGTACTCCACATTATTGGGTTTGCGTGATAATATCGAAGACGCGTAGCGCGTGAGATATGATTTTATTTTGAGTGCTACAGCTCTATAAAAAGGCCTTTTCATCGTGACAAACATGTACAGCTTTATCCCAAGATTTGAGCTTTTGGATCGTGATCGAACGGATCGTTTTGGCTAGAATTTTACTACTGAAAATTGTGGGAAATATTCAAGAAATTGAAGGGACCACAACTCTTCACTAGCGTCGACAATCTGAGACCGGAATGATCAAGAAAGAACATCAGGAGACCGGAAGAACGACGACCAAAAACTATACGAACCGGACGTAGGGAACTTATGGGACCCGTATCTCCTCGAAAAAAGGGAGTCCCGCCTACGCCACTTCCTTATTGGAAGTGCTATGATCTACTACAGCAATAAAAAATCGATAACTTACTTAGTGGACGGTGTTAGTATCCTGGAGGGAAACGCCAGCAATCGATTGGAAGTAGCCGTCAGTGTGCTTGGCTAGGCACACCTGTGGCTACAGTATGATCCAACGTGATGATCTACAGCGTTCTTATTATGTCGAGAGATCTTCGCCAGAGCAAGCTTTGCAACAGAGCGCCTCCGCGACTCTTTGGAGCTGGGCTATTCTGGACTATAGAGAACGAGATGCTCTTATTGAAAAATGATTCTTGAAAGGAATGCAATAAGCGAGAGCTAGTTTCTAATGGACGGGTAAGTATAGCGCAGTGGTTAGAAGTACCGTGTGACGCACACATGGTCATTGGTTCGATGCCGCGACAAGGCTTACTAAGCCTTCCATCCCGCGGGAATCGATAAATTGGTACTAGACTCGTCTTAGGAAGAATGCGGCAGTGATATTGGTAGATCTTCAAGCTCCATGATTCATCTAGAAGTACCAGATCAGATCTTAGGATACCTGCTGGAAACGACTCTATGACGTGGTTGTCAACGCCGATAGCTTCATCTATTTTTGGCTTACAAAGCCTATTGCTGCTTATAAGTAAACACTTCCACAAACAGCTTACACATTCTATCGAACTGAGAATCCAGTGATGTGGAGCGATGTGCAAAACTTTCGCGTTCAGGCGGGACTCGAACCCGCATCTCACTCTATCCGGGAAGCGCGCGCTCTAACCCGTTACACTACTGACAGCCCGCTTTGCCTACCACTCTTTCTACAATACAACGCATCTATCTGCCCGCAAAGAACACGATTTCGATTCCAACCTGACGCAAGAAGTCTTGCACATCACTCCACATTACTGGGATATATTTGTTATATTATACCATTACTAAAAGAGGTCAAATAAAAAGAATTCTGTGCGGTAATTTTGAAATATATGAATAATTCCGTGGCTATTAACAATTCGGCGTTATCGCAGACCTCTTCACCGAAAGTCTACTTGGCAAAAAGACAACGCAGAAAGGACTGGGCGTTGATCAACCCTGAAAGTGTCCAATGCAGTCAACTTCATCACGTGTCATTGGAGGTGATTGAATACATACCTAGTTTATACAACAATTTGCAGTGGCATTCTGATGTGTCATCTATACTCAAGGCGCATTCCGTAATCCAGAGCTCGTTGCCATATGTGGATTCAGATGGTTGACGTTACATACGAACACGTCTGCCTCTCGTTTGGATGGTCGTCCAGGAGGACGGCTGCATTCTCTTGGAGTCCACCTCACTCTTCTTTTTGTCAATCCGTCATCTGCTCTTTCTTTTATGTGAGCACCGGTCTTTATTTCGTCATCAATTTATAAGCTTGTGGATTCCGCATATGGAATAGGTTATGGAAATCTGACCTACGCAAATCGGCTGGACGTTGTGAGTGCCGATCAGACTTTAGTGGACTTCATTCTCGTGCACTGTGGGTGATTTGCAGATTTTTTACGTGTTCGGAGTAGCAGCTCATTTTTGCAGGTGAGCAAGACTTTCGGTGCGAGTATCGGCGGAACTATCCAGGTTGATTTCCGTCATGGATTCTTCACGACTTGAGTTTTCGTCCTCATTATTCGTTGTCCACTCTTTCTCCCTCTTCTTTTGACTTTATTTGGCATCGCTTCTGCTTCACTGATACTCTTAGAGGAGATGGCGATGTCACTGGGAAAACGAAGGATTGATGGATATTTTCCATCAATACGTATGTCCTTCTCGTTCCAATCGAGCGAATTCATTCATTATCTACTGCAACGCGGCAGTAAACAGCTCTAGCTATATAGCGTCGTCTTGTCAAACCACTTTTTTGCTTGTGGTAACGGCTCCATGGAAAATCTATTTTTGTGCTGCAGTCCCGTGACAGGCAGCCAGTGTTCGTATCTAGGACGAGTTTGAGCCTTGCTCGACAAGCGCTGATGGGATTGCATTCACTTGAGGAAATATTTAGTTGAGAAAATTACGTGTAATCTAACTTTATTCGATACCTCATTCATTTTTAACGCGAACGTACGATGTGAAGTACGGCTACAGCATTGCTGAGATATGGGATAAGGGCTTAAGCTGGAACCGAATGTATATGGAGTGAATTGAGCAACAGCCTTTTTCATAAGCTCGAAATAAATGAAGTTAAAATCTTGATTTCATATACGGCTTTTATTTAACTGGGTTCAGTGCCGATTTGTACATTACAAATCAATCACGTGACTGGTCATTGCTGATATCCACCAATTACGGTTAAAAAAACACGGCTGAGGAGAAGGCAGAGTGACAGCCTCGATAGCTCAGAGTGAAAGTGGGCGCCCGCGAAAGGATAGTCGTGGTTTGAGTACACTCTACAAGCATTAGCTTCCACGTTTCGCTCGTCTCTTAGCATCTTGTAATTATACTTCTCAAATTATGCATAGTCTTTCCACAGGTGAGTGTCCTACTCATGGGAATCGAACTGCCGTGTACAGGAAAAGAGTCTCGTCCCATAAGAGGATTACCGTAGTTATGCGAGAGATATTCGACATTCTCATGCAAAAGAAAAATAGCACGACAGAGACGTCTAGCGTATCAATTGTGATATTAAAATGTATTGAGTTTTTCCAGTGAAGAAGTCGAGAAAGATAATGAAAGTGAACCTCTTTTGCTTCTTTTTTTCAGAGCTCATGTTGAGTTGAATTTGTTGAAATATTCAAGTAGCTTGTGAGCGCTTGGCATTGTGCATCTATAGCATCTACGTGGTTGTCAGGAAATGGCAGAGAAGTTTTGCTGCACCCGTACTGATCCTCCTTTTTACTGATTGTATCACATTGTGACCGAAGAAATTTGCGCTTCTTGCAACAAGTCTCAATATCCAACGGTATGCTAGAAGCTCAATATGAGCATAGGAAACTCTCTTCGTCGTTATTCAACGAAATGTCATTTCAAACGACTGCCTTTGAAGGAAATTACCCCAAGAAGAACCTTCAAAGACACGAAAATCGAGATTACTCGTGTCATCCGAAATTCTTGGCTATCTTCGCCATCTTTACTTTTCTTCCCGAGCAACTTCACTTGATAACTTCACTCAGCTAGAAGTCTTTTTCAATATCTTAAGTGATAAGAATCTAACGACATCCCTACTCTGTTCATTCAACAATTATTTCCATAACTTCATTCCTATATGGGAAATCGATGTTCCGGAATCTCGAGTCTCGTTATCTTGCAAAAGTGAGCGAGAAAAAAGACTTTGAAGCGACATTCTACTTTAGGACATCACGACTAATCTTCAGTGGAATGTGGCATTTTTGAATAAAATCAATAAGTGTGTAAATCCTGGCGCTGTGTTTAGAATTATCATCTAAATCAGTAAGAGGCTCAATCTTAGGCAACCTTAACTACGATTGACTTTTATCGTTGATAATGCTTTAGTAGAAGAGTATTTTGCTCTAAATCAACAACAGATAGATATTAAACTCTACTGATTTTATTCACTGTCTTCTATTGTGGCTCTTTCAAAACACTTAACCTTTTTCTGATTGTTTTCTCCTTCATTCACAGTAAAGTGTGAAAAACCTTCAAAATGAACTTTGAACATGTTTCTGACTATGCGGCTCATCCAATTACCGCTTTCTGCTACAAGTATTCTAAACTTAAGACTTCTATGTGCATTTGTTTGCAAAGCATCGGGCATGACCACATCTCAAACCAGACAATGATGAAATTCTGTGATGAAAGCGGATACCGTATTCTGCATTAAAACTCTCTAATCTGAAAAATGAGTGATTTGAGTTAAGATATATTAGAATATTTTAATTAGACTAGCTCCGAACTACGATTTCGAGCTAAGATATCATTTTCTGCAGTTCTGCACGATTTCTAACCTAAGTAACGATTTTCTCAGTTATGAACTGACATTGCAAACCGTTTTTGAATCACAGAATTTTATATGTTTTCGCGCTTTCACATCGTCTACAACAACAGTGGTTAGCGAATGGGACAACCGCTTTCTTGTATTCGACTGTTACGTCGTAACTTAGAACAAAAGAAGGAAAAAAGGCTTGTGAAAGCAAAACAGAGAAGTTTATTGGAGTGGAAAATGATATCAGGATGATTTTTGCTGAAGTATAAATGAAAATGGACGCTTTACTCCTATCTAATTATTCGAATCGTTTCAAATTTTGTTCTGAGAAAACAATCCTTGGTGTGATGTCATGGAAGAGAAGACAGATGTTTTCGATTGCTAAGAAAAACCTGAAAGTCAATTTCCTCGATGATCCTTGCGAATACGCTTAACCTAGGTTTAGAAAACTATTAACCAATGAACAGATGACAATACGGGTTACTAGTAGAATGATTAGATTTAGTGGCCCGTCCGTTAATCATCTGCAACGAGTTTTTCTTTGAGGATCTTTTTTGAATTTGTCAGTTGGTTTCAAGGCAAACAGAGACTATTCAATTGCTTGTCAAGGATGGCGAACGATTTTGCGGTACATTGACCGGCTACTATCGACGGCAGCGATTTGTTGGTTTATCGTGATTTTACCGTTAACCGCACCTCAATCAAATAAATCGTGTCGAGAATTAATCTGAAGATGAACGAACAACGATGGACGCCGAGTTGTCTGTCTAACAATGCCGTTTACTATGACCTTTGAATCGACAACAAGTAATCTTCGTCTGACTACGGTAACCAACACAACGACCTTGTTCGCACAACAATATGTTGATTTTACAAGTTCCTCGTTATCGTAACGGAAACTGTAACAGTTGAGAGTCCACGTGATCTTAATCTACTTAAAATCATGTTTGGTGATACATTACTTGGCTGACTGACGTTCTCCTTTAGCACTATAGCAGAACAATCAAGAAATTAGCTCAGTGATAGAGATTTTTTTTCGTACTGAAGTCAGCAGGATGAAAATAACGGACGAACTGAAAAAAATTTTAGCCACCTTTCAGATCTTTATTGAAATCATTTAAATCAGTTAGATCTACTAGTTTTTCTGCTGAGTATTTATTTTATGGAATTTTTTCAAAAAAAATTACAAAGACTCATAGACAGCTGGTATAGCTGCTATTAGTGAAAGCAGTAGAAACACATCTGTTTCAAATACTATTCGATCACTAATGTGGCTCGTTTGTACGATACAGTCAACGAGGAGCTTACCTCACATCTGATCCATTGGCTCGTCTAGAGATTCTCAACAGAGTTAACATTGATATAAAATGGAAATTTCGGTTCTGTAGCGTTGGAGTGCAAGCGATCATCTAAGTAGATCTGCTTTACTTAATATCCTATTTATTTATTTGCCTATTTATTTATCGATTTTCATTCATCACTCCTCGTAGTATGCTGCGGGTCCCACTATCTATTTCATTCGGTTCGTTGTCCTACAACTATCAATCAGAAAAGTTCATGGGTTCTCTTCTTCATTCTACTACCCTTTGAAGAAATTATTTTTTTCAGAAATGTTAAATTCTGTTGAACTCCGTTGAATTTTTGTAATAGTTTCGCTGAAGCGTTCCGGTGTCTTCATCACAGACACCCGTCAACTTTTGTGAAACGGAGAGAACTTTCCCCCTGCAAGTCTAACCCCAATCCAGCGATTCCAAAAGATCTGAGGCCTGGTTGCTCTTCAAGAGAGGATCGAACAAGATATTATGTATGTATTATTGCACGGCGTCTGTAGCCACTGTGCTTTTAGAGCCTCATGTTTCGATATTACATGACGTCACCACGCTAATGAT